ATTTTTGTTACCAACTAGTATGCACTACGCATATACGAAATTTGATTTGGCAAATTTTATTCATACATATTATATGTATTGTAAAATGATTTATTTCGTATGAAATTAAAAATTCATCATTATTATTAGGTACTTTGAAGTTCAAGCAACGGCTAGGTGCCACTTTTTGGAATATTGCAAAGAAAGAAATTCCCCCCGGTGGCCACTTATAAATATACCACTAAATAGAATTTTAGTTATCGCTTATCTGTATATTATTTTACATAAACAATATGATTTACCTACAGCCATCACCTTATGGCTTATACCGTGTACTGCATGGATGAACAATTTAATACAATTTCTTAATTCGGTTCGTAGTTACTTTAACTATTTTTTTTTTTTAAAAACCTTAAAAATTAAATAATAGGCATTTATGTCTTTATTTTTGAATTTTTTTATATTGCGTGTCGACATGTTTGTGGTCACAATCATGGTGAAGCTGCTATTATTCATTCTTATCGTATTCGATCACAAAAAAAAAAATATCCGATGACATCCTGTGCATTCCTTTATTTTATAGGTAATATTAAAATCCATAGCTGATAGACGTGGCTAGCCTATTCTACATACGATAAGTAACTATTCAATATTGTAATATTATATATATAAATATGCACACAGCTACGAAAAGAAAAAAATATACATTATGTATAGATTACTACGTTTGATAGAGAACTATGCAACTACCACGGTATCGATAATCGGTTATGCTGTTATTTAAAAGTCATAAATATTAAAATGTATAATTAATAATATCCTATACAAATTAAAATACGAGACAGTCAGCAGGTAACGGAACTCGAAAATATGACAACAATATAAATGTCTGCAACAATATAATACACATATTATTATCAACACAATAAATTATCTTACCCTCATGTCTTTCCAAAACGACCGAGACAATAACATCGGGGTCGTGCCCTTTGTGACACTCACATTGAAGTCACATCTATATGCCGTTAAACTCTATACGTCTGTTATATAAGTATAGTATAATAAGTAATAACATTGTCATTTTGTATCTACATATTGTATTATTCGTTTAAAAAATTTAAGTCATCGTTTAAATTTCGTTTATTATTATGCACATATTTGTTGTTATTTTTAGGCATTACATTATGTAGCGGTATAATATACATAAAATATAATATTCCAATATATGGTATGAATTTATGAATACGATTATCGATAGGTAAATTATCATTGTACTTGCAGTATAAATTAATTATGTATCGCACAATTGTCCGTTCGAACTAGCGTGTGTGTATACCTATTATAATAAACGATTTCAATTAAGATGTCAGAGCACTGTCTGTTTTCTCCCTCTGGTACACGCTCAACATAGACAAAACGCATTTCAACAGAATCATTTTTATTATGTTTTGAAATAATCATAGAGTGAAATCACCTATTGGCTATTATACAATCGCTAAGGAATAATATTTTTAAGTTAATGACATATCGATTTGTCTCAATGTTGCCTCAAAACAATTTAAACACCATTACATTTTCAATTTTGTTTTTTAACTTGTAAGTCGAATAATATGTGAAATATTAATATAATATAAAACCGATATGTCACACCCTCAAAAATATTATTATCTACAATGTTTTTAATAGGGGATTTTACAGTAAGGTTACTAAAAAATCATAAAATTACAATTTTAGGTGAAAGCTTTTTATCTATGTTGCCAATTTGTCTGAGTGAGATAATAAATATTGCTCTGACGGAGCAGTCATTTTTTCATTACTAATTTTCATCATCATTTTTATTAGTTTTCATATTACTGCTATAGAAATAATATTTGTAAATCAATTTTGAAATTACTGCTATAGCAGTACTGTCCGTCAATGTGTTAATAATAAAATTGCCATCTCCTCGAGACGCGGCCGTTACAATAGATCGGTCTATACATTAGATATTCAAAAATCACCCGGCGGCGACCGGACTGGTGACCTCGGGGTCGTTTTTATTATCATTTACTATTATTATTATTATTCACCGTCATTCAATATGCAACTGAATTATGTAAATACTTATGGTATACAGACTTCAGATGAGACGTAGGTAACAGCAGTAAACAATATAATATATTATGTGTGTGTGTGTGTGTGTGTGTGTGTGTGTGTGTGTGTGTGTGCCCCTGTCAAATCCCACACCAGATTGTGGACAATCGCTTGCCGCTGTCGTGGTGACGTACGTATACAAATTTATTTTAATGCTCGCCGCGTGTATGTTAGATGATAACACGTGACCGAATATAAATGAGAATATCTTTGAAAACACGAGAAACTACTCTCACGAGGCCTGCTCCGTTCTATATCCCAATCTACCGCCGTCGTATAATTTATGTATAATAAATAATAATACCTACTACCTAGTTAATAATGTACATATACCCGTGAAAGTATTTCGGCGGATAGTGATGAGAAACTCGTTTGAAAAAAAATGGTAGGTAAGTAAATGTATGTATAATAGTGGCAGGTGCATACGTCCCACGACGAGAAGATCAAAACGAAAAATAAAATGATTTTTTTGGTGTTATACCTTTATCCATAGCAGGTTAGGTTATCACAAAATAACTTTTATTTTTACCAGGGAATTATTCGGAAAATAATCACGTTTAGGTACACATTTTTTCCGGACACCAAAAATTAATACAATGAGTTTTATTAAAATACCAAGTTTTGGTACACACATTTAAGTACCTAGGTACTTACACATTTTTTTTACCAGGTAAATATTCTGCATTTTATATCCTATTAGTCTTGCCCAGGAGACAAAAAGGTATTCTTTTAAAAACAAGTAGGTAGGTAATATATTAATAACATTCTTACCTACATAAAATCTCTTTAAGCGCTGCAACACGATTGCGCAATTTTTCCTTTTTTGACCCGGCTAATTACACCACAATTGCGCCCGATCCCTTTTTATCTATTAAAATCACAACACCATTGCGCACCAAATGGTATGTGTTTATACTATATACCATATACTATATACTATATACTATATATAATAATTTATATACAACATAAAATAATGTATACATACACTTTATTTTCATGTACATGCACTTGAACCATATAACTAGTTATTAGGTCTATGACTTAAACGTATTACCTATTAATAATATAATATCAACAAACAAATAATATTGAGTATATTGACTTGAATATAATTTATAATACTATATATTTTCATTTTGAAAAAGTGCATTTTGTGAATTTAAAGTTTGAGTACATGTAATATGTATATGCAAGTTATAGAAAGTATGTATTGTATGTATACATTATTTTATGTTGTATATAAATTATTATTTACAGTATATATACTTATCATTTAGTGCGCAATGGTGTTGTGATTTTAACAGGTAAAAAGGGATCGGGGCGCAATCGTGTTGCAAATTTTTTGCGCAATCGTGGTGTAATTAGTCGGGTCAAAAAAGGAAAATTTGCGCAATCGTGTTGTAGCCCTCTTTAAGTACTTATACAATAGGCACATGTACCATTTGTATTTTAAAGGAATGTTTAAGCAAATCACAGGTATAAAAAAGTATACATTTATTCATCAAATACATGATATGTTTGAGCATAAACTAATATCGTGACAAGTTTGAGGTCTTAAAAATACTAATACTATCGACAGATTTCATGAAATAAAGTAGATGACCTTTGTGAAAAAATCATTTTTAATTCTATAATCATAGCTTTTGCTTTGACCAAAGACTTTGGAACCTTGTGGTATATTATTTTCCTTGCTTCACACATACTCAAAATTAATACTCGTAAGAATGATTAAGATAACGAGATTACCCGATTGATTACGATTACAGAGTTCTTGTCTTATGAGTTTATTTAGTTTCGCATATAAATCTATAGTTGCTTTAGTAAAATAATACCTGCAAACAAAACTTTTTGTTTTTGTAACGACTTCTTATTGAAAAGTTGTATGATTGCGCTCTCAATAAATTCAAATTTCAAATTTTAAGTTTTTAGATAATTCCACTGTTATCTAAAAGTAATTACAACGAAAAATTATACTTTCGTCATTAATTAGTCTAAATTTAATTAAACTTAAAATTATCAATAAATTATTTCTCACTTATTATCACTATACTCGATTTGTAAAAAACTTCAGTCATATTCACATTTATTATTTGTTGTTAGGTACTGTTAAGTTTGGAAAATAAAATCAAACTGAGTTAATAAAGAAATAAAACTTAAATTTCAAAACTGTTTTGTGCAGATATGTATTATACCTAATTAAAAAGAATAGAACATTTTAGAGATCGTCTATTAAAGCTCGATTTTCAAAATTATAATTATATAAGCTAAAATATGCATTTGAATAATACAAAATATTTTTTATATTTCAAACGTATTTTCTTAGCCTGTTAAAAGTAAAATAAAAATTCAGTCTCTGGTTAGAAATGCAAAATGTTGTCATCTTTCTGATAAAAAAAAATGATCAATACTAACGTATTTTTGCTATTCAAAATATTTCGCTATATTCTTAGTGGTTTTAAGTATTATGGTGATAACGAATAACTGATAATATTATTATCAAACATTGACAAGAAATTATTTGATACTACCCCGGTGCAGGTCGGAACCCGTCTTTGTCGTATACACTCTACACCGAGATAAGGTCTCGAAGGCTGTTATCTGAGTTACGAAGATCGATTTTCCGCATATCCACCTCACCCCGCTGAAAGAGAATTTGTACATTATAATATATATAGAGGGCGTTCTTCCAGGATCTCGCGCACAGCTTTCGCGCCGGATCAGCTGTGGTCGGTTGGTCGCGGACATTCACGTCCCATCGACGACATTCACTTGGGTTAGCGACTCGCACATGCAACTGAACGCTGACCACAACAGTATCATATCCACGGTTCGTCGTCAGCTTCCTATTTATTATATCATAATATAATATAACATTCAGAGACTCGCCGACACCGTGCTTGCGGGTCAACACACCACCATCTCTCGAACTTCCATCATCATCATCATCATCATCATCATCATCACTCATCATCACTATTCATAATCATCAGGTGTGTAAGATATTTTGTGTACAAAAACTTTTGTTTTAGCTTATATTTATTTAAAAATTTTGATTTCTTAGATTGTTCCAACCAAGCTCATATTATAAAAATATATGTGCAGGTATTTTTGCCGTTGCTTTGCTCCTTCTTTAATAAGTCGATTTAAATGAAAAATTGCTAACATTTCTTAATATTATAATTATTTTTGAAGACGATATTGTCAGCTTTTTATTAAAATCTGTTACAGTGACAATTTTGGTCTAGGGTTGCAATCTATCATTTGATATTTGACATAAGATATTATAACTTTTTAAATCAAGATATTTTTATGATATGTATTAACTCAACCAAGTTTATGATTTGTAGACATTTTAGAAATACTGATTAAATATTAAAATTAAATTAAAAAGTTAATTTTGACCTGTTACGTGGGGCCGTTGATAAATTTGATGAGCTAGTCAACTAAAATACTTTGAAATGAGTAGTTTGGTAGTATCATATTAGTAACTCAACAAGATGATGCTGCCACTCCAATCGTCAAAACTTTAAAGTATCGAAAATAGTAATTAAAAGTATTTGGTTGTAGAGTTATTTTAAATACGATGATTTTTTTATGTTTTTGGAATAATTGAAAAATAAAGTCTTATCAATGTCTGTTACAGTTTATAAACAACTGTCAAATCAAATACGAGAAACAAATCAAGCATACTCGTAAGTATATTATTGCTATTTTTATTATTAAGATTATGTAAGCTCCATATTCATATATATTATTAAGTATATGACAGGAACAGGAGGGGGGTGATACTTATGGTCCGAGCTCTAGACCTGTATAGGTGCAAAATTTAAAAATGAACATTTCATGTTAGAAAATATGTCAATAGCCAATTTGTAATTTTGTATGTGTTTTTGTGTAATACTAATGTAATTTAGGTTCATCAAAACCACCGGTTTTTGTAAATAATTTTTTATTACGTCCTAATATTTTTGTATAATACTAACAATACAATCGCTCATCTTTGTACAGTGCACATTATTGTACCTACTGCACATTTTTACTGTTTAGAAATAATTCGATTTTAGAATTACTTTTCCATACGATAATATTTTATTTTTATATTTTTTTAAAATATGTGATGCAGACATGTGGTTAAAACCCACAGTCTAAACGTAATCCTGTCATGTACTTACTACTTTATACGAATAAATACCTATATACAATTAACATATGTATAATACGTTATACGTATGCAAAGAATACATTGAAATTAAACCAAAGATAACGTCGACGTACCAATAAGCATATATAACGAATATCAATTCCGTTTTAATTTACTACTTCAAAATTATTCAAATTATAAATATTTACTGTATACCAACTGCACGTGCCACGTTTACAGGGTAATACGCAATACGCAATATAGTAAGTTGATCAGTATCTATTTATTAAAACTAACACAGCCAATGGGACCCAGACTCGCATGTTTACGAGTTACAGGTACCCATGTAATTGCATTTATTGTTTATTTGTATATACTTAAAGGTATGTGTATTATTTGGACAATAATAAATGATGTGATTAATGATTGAATCATGAACGATCAATCATAATGTGACAAAAAAATCTATTTTTTTTTATAGTTTGTAAAAAATGTTTATCTTTGAAATTTTTATATATTTTATAATTGATTCAGTTGTCCGGTTGTACACTTTGACCTAACTAAATTTAAAAGGTGTACTGATTATAACCTTTTATAGCACTGTCAAGAAGATGCCACATCCTCATGTGTTTTCTCTGTCTTACAAATGTACAAGATAGAAAAAACCTTTAATGGGTAGAATGACTCAGTCTGTAGTCCTAGTCGAGGCACCAAAAGTGTACACAATATAGAAAATAATGTCTTCTGTGTCGTAGAGTTTTCATTTGTTTGGTATAATGAATGAGAAAAAGGGAATTATATTTTTTTAAATCTGATATTTTTACGTTTTCCAAGATTTAAATAACTTTTGATACATTGGGTTTTTTTAAAATAAAAACTCTACGACACAGTTGAAATTCTCCTATATTCATGGTGAAAATGTATTTTCATACTTATTACTATAACACTCTCAGAAACTCCCCTTTCGAAAAAGTTGTTGGTATGTTTTACATTTGTAATACGGAGACACACATGCGGGTTTGGAGTCCTCTTAAAATATACTATATTTTGTCGTATTTATTTTGAAATATAAATCATTTGCTTAGAAACTTTGAATTCGAGTTTATACACAAATAATTATCTATTCAGTCATAAACATAAAATAGTTAGGTATCCGTTTTTTTTCCCCACCCACTGGCCACCCGCATACTAGGTTTTATCTACCTCATGGCCTTAAGTTTTAAGAAGTACCAAGTACATATTATAGCTGATATGAGCAATTTAACTTTTAAATAAATATCAACATAAATTAACTCTTCATAAATTATTTTCTTCTAATGCACGTATAAAAATTTGAAAAGCACATAATTTCATACTGGGTTCATAAATAAAAAAAAAATATTAACAGTTTCCATGAGATTGTGATTTTGGGATCAAACTATAATACATAAAACCTAATAATTTGTCCAAAATCGTATTAAAAAAATATTAAACAAAAAAAATTATTTAACTGTAAAATATTCTGTTATTCTGTAATTCGAATATATTATATTATACCAACTAGGCGCACTGATAAAAATGTAAACATCAATATAATTGTATAACTGCATAGTAATCGAGCTAGATGATTCTGAATTAATTTATTATACTTTCTCTCTCGCGTCGTTTTAAATTTATCGTATAGTTATGTAAATGATTAGATTAGGTATACATAATAAATATATCAGATATAATATGATGCCTAGTGAATATTTAATTAAATGTTTTTTTATTCGTATCCCAAATACCATCTTGATTTTGGAATTCCGTCAAACTTCTCACATTCTAACCTCGAAGACGAGTTTTGTGTTAGTTATTTTTTCCACGCGCTTTATAGGTATATAAAATACTTTTTACGTCATTGAATTTAGAAAAAACTTCGTCAATTGACATGATGGGATAGTTAAATTATTCGAAAAATTGTTTGATCTCGTTAACAAAAAACACGGTCTCCTCTGCGAAAAAGCGAAACTGTTTGCCGACAAAATCAAATTGAATTTCTTATAAAAAAAAGTTTATAACACAACTAGTCTCATCGAACGTGTCGAGTGAAAAATAAAGTTTACATTTTATACTTTTATAAAAGTTCCACTAGTCCCCCGCTCTTCGGAAGTCAAACAGTAATAATAATTCGTTGAAACACAACATGTAGTTGGTGCTAACAAAACGTCATGAATAAACCATTTTTAAATACGAATAATAATAAGTTTGTATATTATTGAATTAGTTGTAAGGATAAAATATATTAAAATATATTAATTTTGGGATAGTGTTCAGGGAAAATGGTCGATTTTAAAAATAACAATGGACCTAAATATTATTATAAAACGGTATATGTATGTTATGGTACATGTGCTATTTCCGCCAACATTTAAAATTACCGTTTTTCAATAGCCCGTTTATTCTATCGATTTTTAAAAAAGAAAGAAAGTTTTCAGGAAGTTTTGTATTTTTATATTATTTAAATGTGTAATAAATAATCAGCATTATTGCTTATGTATGTTTTACGCTATATTTCAAAAAAAGAAAAATTGTGAGGTATATTTAAATTCATAAAGTTGTGACTTAAAATAATTGTTCATGGTTTTATCATTATAAGACAATGTTTAATATTAAACATTATTAAAATAACTAATAGCTAAATCGGAAAGACTATACTTAGTCTGTAAGTTCATATAAGTAATACACAATATTTGTTTTGTTTATTTTAAATGGTAAAAATTTAAAAAAAAAAATAATAAGTAGGTGATAGGTACGTCATATCAATAACTTCAAAATGCATAATACATAGTATTTTGTTTATTTATTACAAGTCTTAGTAAATTGTAATAAAATGGATTTGTTTTTTGGAGTGTTCAGAATATATTAGGTAACATTATTTATTTAGATGTATTTGTCGGTCCGGACATTTTCAATTTTTTTTTTTTTCATATACTGCTTATGGTTTTATGTGGTTTATAAAATTTTTAATTTAAGTTCAAATGACTCAATTATATTAACACCGCTTTGATATAAACTTTCCGTCATGCATTCCCATATAATTGGTCGAAAATTTGAATTTTCACGTATAATGGAAATTATTTTAAGTGCTTTATAAATAATTGGCGTATATTGTGAATATACATTAACATCATACTTTCTGGAATATTCGAAATTAAATAATATTTCAAAACAATCGCATACAACTTCTGGATTTAAATACATCAATTCAAATGAGACTGCTTTAACAAATTATTTTGTTTGTATGCTACAATTAAACCAAATTCTTGAATTTGTTCATACCGTGACTGAATTAAACTAATTCTACAGACTTCCATGTAGTACAAATTAGTCTACACTAATTGAACAGCGCCATGAATAGCTATATCAAATACATTCGTTACACTTTTGAGATTTAATATTCAATTATGTTCATCATAATTAATTAATTATTCATATGTTTTTTCATTGAGTAACTAACAAAGTACTAATGGAATGTAGAGATTATTTATTAAATTCATGTAAGGTAAAGAATTGTAAAAAGTAAAATGTAGACATCAGCCCCAATACGTCACTTCAACATAATAGGTACATGTTTCATGCATGCCGTAAGTTGAATGACGAAGTATTAATATTATTATGGAATGCCTACTGGAACTATTATTTTATTTTAACGTTTCAAAATGAGATCAATAACAACAATATTTTGTGAACAATAAGATTTTATGGCATACAAAATGTTCTTGTCTATATTATTGTACCGTAGTTTCAATTGTATGTGTTTATTTATGATTAAGCATAGTTAAATTCAGTATTTAACACTGAACTATACTCAGTTCAGTTATATTTAAGTTACGTTTATATGTATGTAATAAAGGGGGGTAAATAGGAATTGCGCTATAATGAACCTTTTTTCAAAAAGACGGCAATGGGTAAATATGATAATATCGGGGCACTAAAATTGTACATTTATGACAGGTAAACCTAGCGATTGGACCACTATTTTAAACGATTTTTCATTATTGAATCCGATGTCAGAATTAGATATTTTTTAGGGTGTCGTACCCAAAGGGTAAAACGGGGCCCTATTACTAAGACTTCGCTGTCCATCCGTCTTTCACCAAGCTGTATCTCATGAACCGTGATACTTAGACGGTTCAAATTTCTACAGATGACGTATTTCTATTGCCACTACAACAACAAATACTAATAATAAAATAAAATAAATATGTAAGGTTTTAATCTAACCTCCCCTACAATAGATATGATTTTGTTGCCGTTCTTATCAGTGGCGGCTCGTGAGGTTTACCTTAAGTGGTGCATAAGAAATATATAAAATACCTATGTAAGATGGTAAAAATATTGATTTTCTAAACATCGTAAATTCGTAACAATATGTCAATTTTTAATCTGTTTTTATATTATATTGATGGTATTTTAGTAGTTAATAGTTGACCTTGAGAGCACACTGGCACAATTAAGAGATAATGATAATCCGATAATGTATAGTGTTATCGTTTCGACGATCGACTCGACATGACATCGTTATTTGATAGGTTTGGTGCACTCACAGATATATACTATTTACCAGATACCCGACTCCATATACCACTGCGTATTGGTGTTTGAAGCCAAATAGGTTGGGCAATGTTTACAATCTGTTATCAATATAATTATTATGATAACATAATAATATTATTATTATAAAAAATGTACCTACTACCAAACACCAATGAATACTTTAAACTATTTGCTCCTACGAGTACTAGTAAGTAGTAGTACTACCATGTGATTTAATAATATAAATTTTAAATTATTATAAATTATAATTTTGCCTGTTATCACTAACATTGATAACATCGGCTTGTAAACAATGCCCAATCTGTATTATGACTGTATAATAATGTTGGCTTCAAGTATGGGAACCGAGTCGGGCATCTAGTAATTAGTAGGGTGGGAGCACTGTACACATTAAAGTATGTGCTCCGAACTACCATATATTACTAACCGACGCGTCGAGATATGTACCTAATATTTACACGGTCTCCAGGAGCACAAACAATTTGTGCTCCGCAAATTATTTAATCTATAAAGACACACTTCTCAAAATTAAAAACCGAAAAAACTTTTTTTTTTACAGATCATGTGCATAATAATCAATTATATATTACCATAGGAATCTAATTATTTTTTATATATTTTTTATTTTTTTGGGTGTTTCTTGTGTTCCTGTGCACCATACCACGAGAGCCGCCACTGGTTCTTATAGATAATGGTACGGAACCCTTCGTGCGCGAGTCCGACTTGCGCTCGGCCGGTTTTTTATAAATACCCTAAAGAACATTAGGAAAAAAAACAACGAAAACACCACAATATAATATGATAATTGATAGCCCTCGTGATATATAGTGACTTTACAATTTAACAAACGTAGCTGTAAGATAACAGTATAGTAACAATATAACTGTATACATTGTATACATTGTAATTAACCTTACTATGAATTTAGAATTTATGATTATGATTATCATATTATTATAATATTGAACTCTAGTATTACTTTATATTATTTACCATTATTTATAATCAAAAAACTATAACCTTGGAAGTTCTATATGTTTTTTCTTAATTCAATAAAAAAAAAAAAAAATAATCACAGTTTTTACTTACTTTATATATTATTATACTACATTTTTATAAATTATAATATTGTGACACACAAAATAATATTGCATTGCATATTTCATTTTGCACATTATTATATAATCATTAACATAATATAGTTAGGTAAAGAGTCCCAATTATGTTGTTCGTGGTCAAGTCCTAAATATATTTATATATAATATTTTTAGAACTTTTTTTTAACATTTTTAAAAATACCTTTAAAATTACCTTTGTATAATAGGCTATTTTATTAATAATGTAATATAAAGTATCTATATTGGTATAAATATTTATATTGTGTTTATTATTCCATATCAAATGGTGTAATACAACTTAAAGACCGACGATAAAATTAATTTAGTTACCTACCTATTATGAATCCTATTTGTAACCTAACCTAACCTAAAGGATATCGTCCACATAAAGGGGGTTTGTGGAATAGAATAGGATTTAATTACTATTGTAATCTACCTTTATAATTGACAATTGTTGCACTGTAGTGAATATATTATTATCGTCAAATCTTCGATTCTCCGCCATTACAACGCCAAACAATTATAATTAACGTATAACCTTATTAATGATCGTGTTTTCCCGAGATTGGATGTCGTTGAATAATTACAGTTTAAATTACAACTTAAGTCACTATAGATATAATTATTATTAAGCACATTGCAAATTATAGGTAATGGGTGGAATTACTCATTTATTCGTGGTCAGCATTGAAGTTTGTAGGTGTAGGGTCGTAATAACGATGTAAATTGAATAAAACCAGCAAACAATTCATTTATTTTTATTTTTTTAAAAATCTAAACAACTTATTTGTCATAAAACATAAGTTTTTTTTGATGATGTTTTATTTATTAAACGTCAGATGTAAAAAAAACAAATCAAAGCAGAATAAAAATGTAAAATTAAATGTTAATTAGCGGATACTCTCTTATTTTGTAAATAATATTTTTTTTACCATAGTTATTCGATTCGTTTTGTTCATAATATTTATTTGAATACTGACCGAAATATAAGCTTCATTAAAAGTCATAAAAGTAAAAAATAAAAATGCAAGCAGAGATATGTGAAAAATAATGTTATTTCCACAGGATATATTAATTGTATTGTGTGTTTATTATTAACTCGTATATTATGTGTAATATGATATATAATATACAAGTATATAATAATAAAAGTATAAATACAGTGTTTGGAAAAAAATAGTTAGGTTAGGTTAATAATTGAATTATACGAACTTGAACGAATTTGTATGGTTCATTTGATAATGAGAAAGTTAGATTAACTCTTAATCATCATTTTTGACTTTTGGCATTTTGTTGATACCATGATAATGAGGTTAATAATATTAAGATAACCTAATATAACTCGTAATTAATTATACGTCTTTACAGTAAAGAACACAATAATGTTTGAACGATCTTATGAACGCGTTCATTTTTACAACAAACATTACAACATAACTATATTAGTATAGAATACGTAACGAATACCGAAACTTATAACCACATCATTTAGTCATTTAGATAACATTTAAATAAATAAATAAATCAGTGTTCTGAACTTTCTATAAAAAATTGAATTAGTTCACCTTCACATTTTTATTAATGTTCATTGAAAAGGAATAGGTACTAATTTCTAGTAATTTTATTATTTCTAAACTATCATAATAACCAACCAATAGCAATCAATTATATAAAAAGAATAAGATAGAAAAAGGCATTTCAGTTTTTACGATTTTTTCAATTTTCAAAGAAACTTTTCCAATTTTTTTTTCTGTGAAAATTTTATTTAGTATATTACAAACATTTAACAACAAAAGTGAGCCAAATCGGTTAAGCCGTTACCGATTTTATGCAGTTAAAATCAACATCAAATCGGAAATTCATAACAGTCTCTGCAGTACTGTATCAGTATGCAGTGCTAACTAATACTATACTGCACTTCCCGGCGCAGCTAGTATTGATTATAAACTGGCATATGTCTGAGATCATAATGCTTTTCCAGTATTGGATTTTCAGTACTGATCCAGTACTGATGCTGCGGATTTTCATTTTTAAGATATAGACATTAATTTATTATTTTTACATTTTTTTTACTTTCGACAACCCACTATTAATTTTCTAAGATGTATTGTACATTAAAATCTTTCCTTAGACTCAGCTCTATTAACTTCCAATAAACCAGCATAGGGCTGACTTCCTCGATGAAGAAATGAAAAAATATATAATATAGCCCTGTATACGATTTAAATTAAACGCCTAAAATCGATTTTGTGCACCTTTTAACTGAACAGTATAATATTTTGCACAATCATGCGTGGTCGAGGTGGAATACTATTCAAGTTCACATGTTTTTTAATGACCCTCTCCACTTACTTTTAGCCACTTCGATCACTGCAGCGCAAAATCAGCTTTTCTAATATTATATATTTGTCAAATGTACATATTCCATTATGTCTAATAGATGAACGACAGAAGAAATGGCCCGGATGCCCGCAAAGTCTATTCCAGATCGAACTCTGATGATTGTAATGACGTCAACGACACTGTCTACCCTTTCTCGGCCATCCGCCCACTACGAAGAATTGATAGTGACTCCACAGAAAGTGAACTTGAAGATCATTGCTATCATCGTCGGTCTGAAAAAGAACCGCCCTACTGGATTCCGCACCATAAGAATGGTGGCAAGGGTGACAATAGTGAAAACAATTCTGAGAAAAATGGAGACGAATCTCTGAAGAGTAGCGAAAATGGTTATGGAGGGCCAAGCGAAGTCTGCGACTACATCGCAGAATTGGACTTCGATGATGATAGGGCCTGTGTCGATGACAAAAATGATGACAAAACTGACAAGAAAGACGCCGATAAAAAAGTTGAAAATGAAGTTGTTGGTGAGGTTGCGAACGAGGGTAACAACGACGGCGAAGACAACAATGAAGTGCAAAGACACCCTTTCATTCGTTTTTTGGAAAGATCGAACTTTTTCATCAGAAACGTAATAAGCATAACATTTGATTTACCCCCACCAACACCCCGCAATTGAGAGTAATAAAGACGAAAATCTGGCTTTATAATACACACATTTTTTCAGATATGTATGGCATTCACCGTTGCCACCACTACCTTAGCAGTATAAAAACCCCGTAGTATAAAATTAATAATATAATATAAATATTAAGAAAATCGCACGTTTGACCTATGCTTGTATACCGTTTAACACGATAAACACGTTTGTAGTGTACTGTTATTTCCTGCACTTCCTTCCACTTTGCAACATATACACCTAAACTTAATGATCATCTATATATAATGTATGGAACTGAGTTAAATAATACTAAATGCTAAAATAATTTTTAAAAAAATAACTGAAATATTTACTGAAATCAAATTAGTATACGTGTGCTTCATTTATCGGTCTCTTATTTTTCGAAATAATATAGCTCTATATTCTATAATATTATATGTATACTTACAAATCATAGGTTATTAGTATTATTTTAATTAATTAATTACATAATTAAATTATAATTATTATACTCGCCCTATATGGTGTATAATCTGTTTGGAATTCAACCTATTGTGTATTAAAATAAATTATTAAATTTCAATTTCAATTTTGTAATTGACAAAAATCCATAACCCCCCCCCCCCCCCCCCCATAAATTGGGCCTAATGCATATTATTATAATACGTATTTTTAAATTAGCCTTCTAATATCATTAATTTGAAAATCAGTTCAAGCATAAACATAAACAATATACATAAATATGATATAAATATTAAATAGGTAGTTTTGATTCAATCTATAATAATGGTTGGTACCTAAAGTAAAATTTATTGATTAGATTTAAAAAAATAATTTTTAATTTATATACGAAATTATAATCTTATTATCGATTAAAACATAATATTAGGAAATTTATTAGATTAACCTTTTTCTTCTTGTTTAACCGAAAGCAGAGGAGGCTCTGTTTTCACAATACTACTCCTCTGCAGCCATCGTGTATTGGCGAATATTAACCTAAACACAACGAGTAAGTATTTTATCAATTATACTATTGTTCTGATTTTTTCGATAGTATACTTAATTGTCAATTTATTAGTGTATACGTGGACGTACAAAAATTATGTCTGTATAAATGATTAAACAATTATTATTCATTTTTTCAATCATAAATTAATAAACCCCAAATTGTGACCAAAAAAAAATAACAATATCATGTTGAACACGACAAATATGAGTTTTTATGAGCTTTATAAATATCTATATAAATGGTTTAAAGCCGGAGAGGCCTCCAACTCATTTGATTTATGTAACTGTCAGCTTATTTCAAGGTCTTGAATGCATGCATGATAATTAAATACTTAATTAAGTAAATACAAATTATTAGTAAATATTATTATATATTTAAGACTTCAACGCTAATGTTTTCAAAAATTATTACCTATTCATACGTTTAGTAGTTTAATTTATAATAGTAATTTGTGTTTTAAATTTTTTATTTTAATGTGCTATAGGTACCAATTTTGTTAATTGGTGTTATTATTTTGATGTCTATATTATACGATATACTTGAGCTTAAGAAATTGTTCGGTTTAAATTTTAAAATTACCGTTATAACTCTTAACTAAATCTACCTCGGAAGATGTGAGGACAAAATTATATTATTTATGTAATAAGTAAATAAGTGTCGTAACGTTTTAGAGCCAATATGTTTCATAAAAAACATCACACATACAAATGAATTACAACATTTTAAAATTTAAATAAATAAATAATACAATTTTAAATTGTAAAACTAAATTTTATGATAAAATTAATATTTTAAAACCAAGTAATGTGTTCCATAATTTTTAAACGATTATAAATTGTATTTATTTTGAAGTCTATACTCAATATTCTATAACATGACTGTGAGTAAATAATTTTCGTTTTTATATAAATATTTTATGATACCTTTAAAGTTCAATTTTATTATTCGACAGTATACTAGTTGCGTCCCCTAAAACCCTAACTACCTACCTACAAAATAACTTCTAATCTGAATTGTGGCCAGGCTTTTTTCTAGTTATATCCTGGTTGGGGCCTCATTATATATAATATATATGCCATATCTATCACACCTACATAATAAAAAAATATATCCCCTCGTTTGATAATAACGGCAGTCAGAAATCAGAATGTAGTTTTCACAATATTTAAAATTTCGTTTTTCTTACCTTTTTTTCAATCAGAACGATGTTAATGACTGTTTTTCAGATTACAAATCAACCAAGAAATGAAAAAGTATTATTATATACTGATTATCAGGTTTGGGATTTTATAGCATTTTCAAAATGTATAATAAAATGCTTTAGATGTATCATAGTTAGCTCAAAATGTGTTCATAATTCAGAAAACTGAAATCAAAAATTTAACTTTGCATATTATTTTGCAATTTTTTAGATTTTAATTCTATTTCTATACTTTTGTAGATATTTTTTTATTTTGACTTGGTTCTTAATCAAAAATTTTCATATTCATTTTAAAAACTTGTTTTTTATTATTGTTTAATTTTAAAAGTAATTCACTTTTCTATCACTGTATATTTATAGATTAAGTAAATAGACCGACCATATACGGATACGTTGAGTGCCGACAAGACGTGAGCAATGGTGTTCATCATTTCATTTTATTTTCTTCTTATTTCAAATTATATTCGATTATTTCGATTATATATTTACTGAATTTGTTGGGCTACTTTTTGACCCGATTGTCATTGACGGCTGTGATTATAGTGTTGAAAGCGGTGTATAGTGTATACTATATTAACTCGTGGACTTATCACTTGTACAGTATAAGTTTAGTGTTTTCGATTGAACGTGTTGTTGGTGGTGGTGCTTAATTTGTACATACCTTTGCCCAGTTTTATCCAATATTTTTAGCTTATATTTAGTGATATTTAAGTTAATATATAGCACATATTATAGGTTATAGCACTTATGTTCTATGCATTTTGAAGAAATTTAATATCCCAACCCTGCTGATTAAACTGCCTAACTCAACAGTGATTGAAAATATATATTTCTAGCCAAATCTATAAGTCTAGGTACCTTATATATTTTTATACTCAATAAAATACTTTTTTAATACCTACCAAAGGTTTCATTTTTTTTAAGTTTCAGTTTTCTCTAAATCAAATTGAAGTAAAGTAATTTATCCTCTAGTTATCCATGGTTTTAGTTTTGCAAGTTTATTATTTTTTTTTATGACTATGAAAAATGATAAAATTAAAATTAATTAATTTTTCAATTTTAACTGTAAAAAGGTCTAAGTCTATATAAATTTGGGTCTAATTAATTCTTAATTTGGTTCTTACTATAAGTATTCCGTTAAAATCACTAGGCCACAATACGTGTGTACCCAAAAAATACTAGAACTTCAATATGGTATAATTTTTTCCGCGGGACGCAACTATAGTATCACCCTCTTATTAGATGGGCGTATGTAAACTTCGCAACAAGTACCTTCCTTTAGTGTAAACTCCGACAGGAAAAAAAAACAGGTAAAATTAAGTTCTTGTAAACTTTGTCAGTGAAGAAAATCAAGTGACAGTATAAAATTAATATATATAATATATAAGACAGATATCATGTACTTACATTATTATAATATCCCAAAAAATATACAAAAATTAATAAAAATAATAATTGTCAGAACAAGTCGTCCAGTATTAATGTATTATGGTAATGAATAATTTTAATAATCCTAAAATATGTATCTAGCAACCTAATAATAACATTATCTAACACTATTATTTTGGATTTTTGAGCTTCTTTAGTTAAGATATATTATTAAGTTTTATACAAGCACTGCCGGAGTTTACATTAGACCTTTTCATTACCTTTTTATCTAACCGGTATTATGGCGGAGTTTACAATCGCCCAATTTGATAGCTTAACTCTCTATTCAAAGATATTCAAGTTAAGCCATAAATGACAATACTGCACAATAAATTATCTATATGTTACTTGACAATAAAAACTCAATTTCTGAATATAAAAATTTAAAAACCAGTGTTTTCATAACTATATTAATAAGTGTTTGAAATTCATTCACATATTATGTAATACTTTGGGGACAGTTTGAGACATTTCGATAAGTAGTATGTACCTATATTTGGGCATCATTCAAACTAATAAGTAGAATATGAGTAGAATAGTTGATATAATATAATATATTGATACGCATAATTATAACAATGGCTTTTTAATGTATGATTTTTTTTACTTATACATATTAATAATTATAATAATTGTGTCACTGAGCATTTGTTTTCAAGTACAAAGTCAGAGTGGATACTTTGTATGGATATTTGTTAGGTGTATTACGTATTTCAAGTACCTACTCACATTAAGTACAAATAAATTATTTTACTTTTCACAATAATAAACAATTATAAGAATATAATGTAGTAAATGTGTATAGTAAATATTATTATACCTATTGTTCAATTATTAATGTATTCAAAATATATTTAAAAAGGTATTAAGATTATTGTTTTACAAATGTTTTAATTTTAAGTTTAATTCAAACCATCAAAAAATCACTCTGTTATTCATATTATATTCGTTAAATTATATTGAATTAATTACTATTATTATACAGGAAAACAAATGATTTACTGTTCACTCTACATGTACGTCGTAAATGTCGCAATTATTATTGGTACCTATATATTTTTGTTTGTTTGTGTGAATTAATATAATAACAATAAAACATGTGTTTGAATGAAGACTTCCGTAACATTTTTTTCAAACAATACATTTAATATACCTGTCCTATTGTACCTTAGAAATTCTGCAGTAAAATAAAGTTGAATCTGATTAAGCTATAAAAAAGGGCATCCAACATATATGTGTAAGCTAATTTAACTTATACCTATAAATTCTACGTACTAAATTCTACTATTGGTAATTACAATTTTTCTGAATAAGGTAAGTACATAAAACAATGTTTTCAGGAACAATGGTTGTTAGTTTAAACATTATATAGGCAAGCTTTGAAATTTAATACACCCAATAGGATCAGTCCACGACGGAGGAATAAAATAAATATTTACCATTTTAGTATACTCATTATTGTATTTATAAAATTATTACATTATATTATATGAATTATGCGTCGATAAAACACAAAGAGAATAATATTAACTGTGAAGTGGCTCACAACTTGTGGAGTTAAACGTAGGTAGTAGGTACAATACTTTAATTAATGCAATATTACGGTGATTCGGAAGTCAAATGAAAGTACTTTTGCCTGAATAACTGATGGATTAAAAAACTATACAAGTGAATCTTTGATTACTCCAATATACCAACCTAGATAGCTTGATGTCAACTATTGGCGGTTAAAAT